CATCATCCACGAATATCGGCCCCCGCTAATGGCGGCTGCGTGGATGCCCCATTGTTGTTGCTATTGTTTTTATACTGGATAAATTTTATTTTAAACCAAACATAAAAAAAGTATTCTCTTGTATTTGCAATGCGCTCAATCAAACAACTCAAAAATATTTTCAATATATTGTATTCATTTATACTGTAGTTGTTTTACTCTGCACTGCCTTCTCAACACAACAAATTTCTTCTTAATTTTATCTTTATAAGCATTCTTCTAGCTTGTATTGCATATTAAAAATTTTCTTAACTAGAATTTGTTGGAGGGACCTTTTGTGATATAAAGATTTCATCTTGTGCCACTGTCCTACCTTTGTCAGTTTTTCCTCCAAGATCTCAGCCACTAAACATAATTGGATCATTGAAAGAGCTATTTCATTCATCTGCCTCATATCTTCCTTACTCCTCATCACAAGCATATTTGAATACCCCATGCGTCCAAGGTTCATGTTGAATAAGATGAACAAGCATCTTGGTTCTTTGGTGGCCAAGGCTCTTTTGGTCCATTAAATTTTCTGTTCTCAAAATTTGGGGCCTTCATACTTAATAATTGGCTTTGATATTTGTTTGTCGTGACGGAACACCTAAATCAAATGTGGAACTGCCCCTAGGATCAGAGTATGATGAGCCGCATAGAAATACATTAGTATTTATGTGGTTCAACTTGATCAACACTTACGTTCACGAGAGAGGGAGAATCTAATCCACTATTAAAGAAGCCAAAAAGCAGCATATACAATATAACAACAAAAACTAGCACTTCCAACACCTAATTAGATGCACTCTTAATCTTGGACGAAGCTTAGTGAAATCTACAATATTGATTTATCAGATAAAATCTTCTCGCATGAACCACAAAATCCTTGTAAAGATAATATGTAGAAATTGCTATTCCTTCATGAAGTGCCTGCCATTGATAGGATAGCGAGGTTAGGATCTCAAATCTATCAACCGTGCAGACACACAATCAACCTCAAATAACTTAAAGAGAGCAGAGAGGTTACATGATACCTTACCTCCCATAAATCACACACAATTCAAGATATATCATGTGAATCAAGATCGAACCACAACTTAATTTGAGAACCTTTAGTTCGCATGCATGCTGCTTTTTTGTCAAGAAATTATCCTAAGATGCATTTCATGCAGCTTGGAGAATACTAATAAGTGGATCAGTTATTCGAATTTAAATTATGAATATTCTGGATATATTAGATCCGCTATGACACTTGTTGTTCCTTGCTGCAATGTGTACCAAACTTCATAATATTGAGTCAATATTCAATATATAAGCTGTCAATGATTTTTTTTTATTGAAGGAAGATGATGAGTAAACATGATTTAGATATTTGCTTTTATGTTTTGTGCATTTTAAGAAACTGTGTTATCTATGTTGTATAAATTGAAAGTAAGAATTGACATAAATATGAAAAAATTTCTCATTTGAAGAGCCACAAATGGTTTGCTCTTGATTTAGGCTTTCTATAAGCCAAGCTTGAGCAAGCAAGGTCTTGTCTGGCTAAGTTTATTCACTATTAAGCAAAATGTTAGCCTAACTATCGATAATCCACAATACATTGTTCAAGCTAACATCTTTTATTATTGATTTAGCATGAACTAAACATAAAAAATGAGCGGGTTCTTGTTTGGGGCGGCTGCTGCAAGAGCGGGTGATGGGGAGCGATGTGGGAAGGATGAGGAAGGGTAGGGGAAGGATAATCACCACCTTTGGAGCGAGATACAAGCGGAGCACCACTCTACCCTTGGGTACAACCCTAGACAGGAAATAAAGATGCTCGTGGTAGTTCCAAACAAATACACGACAAAAATTGAACCGTAATATATCATGAAAGCAAATATAAGGTACTAGTATAACTAGGGAGGGCCCCACTCTCATTGGCGGCAAGCACTAGGCTAAAGGAGGGTTGATCGACCCCTCCAACACTTGGGTCGATTCAGTTGGGATGCAACAATTGCCGCGCCTGTTTGACGCCCACATCACACTCAAAATAATTTTTAGATGATTTGAGTGTTTTTATAAACAAGTTGATTTGTTTTAAAAAATAAAAATAAAAACATGAAAAAATGCACTAAATAAATATATTTTTAAAATAAAAATCTAAACAAAAAACAAAAGTGATTCCAAGCAAGTCTTTAGCAATTGCACTACCTGTTTTCCATATGCAATCCACGAACATCTTCTTAGTGTGGAATTATGTTTTTATATTCTGAAATTATTGTAATTGATTACATTAATTACAACCTATTTTCCCCTTTTTTGTTGGCCTTGTTTCACCTCTATTATTTCTTCTATTTACCGATTGAAATAAAAAATAGTATTATCTTTTATATTATTCAGCTAAAAGGAATTTAGTAATTTCATATTGTTGTGCTCTTTTTTCCGCACACATTACTTCTGCCAATGCATATCAGCCTATATCGTAATGTTGGCCCTCTTTTCAACTTGATGGATTGCAGTATGTTCAGGAAAACTGTTGAGGATTAGACTTTCTTCATCATTCGTAGCAGCAGTTCCCATATTTTTCCAATTGTTTGGATTCAGGCTTTATAAATCGTCATTCTTTAATCATTATAATTTTTTCTATAGGGTGCTATTTATTTTCTTTTTTTTTTCCATGTGGGCTGAAAAGCAACCATTTGCAAGGAAAAGTAGCCTATCTCTTCTCAACATGTGACTGGTTGCAGAAATTTGTATTTAATGAATGACTTGCTGACTGACATTTGCCTAGCTGGGATAACTATAGAAGTGCATGCATTAGGTTTCTCGTAATAATTGTTTTACTTACTTTTATGTCATTATTCTATGTATTATAATACTTTCAAGAGAGTCCATGTTTATTTTTCAATGCAACCTCTGTATGTTTCTTTCCAACAGATGATCATATTGTCCGTATTTTAACAAGATCGAGGAGAAATGCACTGCTAGTTTTTCCTGGTAAGAAGGTAAATGATAATTTTATTTCAAAATTTATCATTTAGTATATGAGGTGAAATCCATCATCTATTGGTCATGACAAGTTTCTTTAGATACTCTTGTTTCGATTCTTTAGAAGTTTTTGATATATAATATGTCAGACTTTTTCGCAATAGATTTGTCATTGCATGCATACGGTAAATTTTATGATATTCATTTCATTTCTGTTTCTTCTAATGAGTATTTGTGGAGAAATCTAGCACTTGTTGGCCATGAATTTTTGTACTCACTTATTTTTTAAAAATCTTCATTGCAATATGTATCGCAAAGGATTTTTGTAAATGTCTTGTTCATATATATATATATATATATAATTATATTTGCAAGAAAGAGCAACGGTGGCTCCCTACGTGTCAATATAAAACAAAGGTACAAAATAAGGGAGGGTAGGAGGATCCCCGTCTAAAAATCAAAAAAATACATTTAACTCACCCCTAGGGGTCCTACTCCCACAGTACAACCCACACCAAAACAAAGCCCAGAAATTACAAGTATACCCAAGCCAAAAAACAGAATCCAAAAAAAGTATACCCGTCCAAGTGTGGAAATAAAAACAGGTAAAAAATTAAGAAGAACTAAAAGACTAGCATCAAAAAGATCTCTAAGGCTTTGGAAGCCATCAAAACAATAAAAGGTTGCTCCAAGCAAACGGCTTTGCTAACAGGGAAGGTGATCCACTGGCAAGAAATCTAAACAGAGCAGGTCTAACGAAGCAGAGAGTCTAGAAGATCCTTATAATAATATCCAGAAAAGAGTGCGGTCCGAACCTGCCAGAAAATAGAGAGAGCAACAAAGAGGGAAGGTGCAAGATAAACAGTAGAAAAGAAACAGAGGACCCAATCAAAGAGTCATGCACCAAGTATTAGCTAAACTCTAACATAAGGCAAATTCAAAGTCCCCAATAATTAAATGTCTAAGGGAAGTAGGGGGGGATAAGCCAACAGTGCACACATCCCCTGCTTGCCTGGCTAACCAGTCGACAGAGGAGTTACCCTCTCTATGTATGAAACTCCAACTAACATTCAGGTGGCTATCAGTAATTAAAGCATGAATACGTTTGAGAGTGCAAATAATATCCCAAAGAGGTGAAGAAACACCCAATAACATCTCATAAAGAAGTTTTGAATCAGTTTTCACCGCAATAGTATGAAAATTGAAAGCATTTGCCACCGTTAAGGCAAGATATACCCCCTAACACTCTGTAGCTAAGGGATTATCTGCGACAACATCTGATGTAAAATAGCACATAAAAAACCCCTCAGAATTTCTAAAAATGCCCCCAATAGCAGCAGAAATCGCATTCCAACTACCATCAACAGTAACCTTCACCCAACTAGGAGGAGGGGGTGCCCACCTGATTAACCGAGGGGGCCTAGCTTTTAAACCGATAGGGACAATGTTGGTAAAGGCCTTGAGGGCCTTAGTGTAATAGGCCAACACATAAGAAACAGTAATAGTGGCAATTGGAGGAGGGGAGTTGTATTTATGGCTGTTTCTAGCAGCCCAAATAAACCAAAGGACCAGCAAAGAAAGGGAAAAATCTCCCTCATTATCATCATAAGCCTTCTACTCCCACAAATAAGTATTTAAAATGCCCCTATGAGTCCAGGGGATACCAAAGTGTAAACCCAAAATGTTCCAGACATCCAAAGAAAAAACACATTCAAAAAATGTGTGTCTCGAACCTTTCTCCGAGACTTTGTACATAGGACATCTTGATGCCAATCTAAGGTCTTTCAGTTTCAGAATGTCATCAAGAGGCAGTAAGGAGGAGAAATAGCGCCAGAGAAAAAAAAGAAATAGAGGGAGTGAAGAGTTTATGCCAAATCCATTTTCCCCAAAAAAGTGCCATATATCAACTTACAAACCGACTGAGAAGAAGTCTTCTTCCACACAGGGTAATCCCTGCGGGAAAGGGTAGTAGGAATAACAGTTATATGCTTAGCATTCAGCTCCCCCACAATAGAGCAAAGTTTAGTGAAATCCCATCTACCTTGAGAAAAGAGGTCAAAGACAAGCAAGTTATTAGTATGGGAAGGATGAGTGTGCTGAGAAAGGGAAGACAATCCCCAATTATCATAAAATCTCTAGCAATGGATCTGACATTTAAAATAGCCTTCCAGATCCGAGAATCACCTGCCTTCCATAAAACCTGGGAAGGGTGGGAAATGACAATATTTTTGATGCATAAAAGAGGCCCATAGAGATGAGCCCTCTCTAAATTTAAATCAAAGTTTTCAAAGATTAACTTCAACCGTATGTTGCAGGGCTTTAAAACCAAAATTTCCAGCCTGTTTAGGCTTACACAACCTGTGCCAAGAGACCCAAATCTTCTTAGCACCACTCCCAACCCAAAGGAATTTATTAAAAAGCCTCTCCATAACTTTAATGACACTTTTATTTGGATTGAACATTTGTAATGCATATAGAGGAATACTTTGAAGCACACTAGAAAACAAAGTAATCCTACCCCCAATAGCATTAATTTTATGCTTGATTTTGTCAATGACATCATCCATATGAATATGTTTTTTCCTTCCTTCTGTCTTTTCCTTACCCAAATCAAATTAACCCCAAGATACTTTAAAGGGAGAGGCATGATGATAACCAGTGAAAGAAACCCCCCAATGGGCAATATGATATTTAACATGCCTGCCAAAATACATCTGACATTTGTCACAGTTAAAAACCAGTCCAAAACAATCCTGGAAAACATTTAAGAGCCTCATTAATTTTTTGATTGCAAGTTTGGAAGCATTTGCAAAAATAATAATATCATTAGCATATGCAAGGTGAGAGACCACAGTTTTAGCCTTATGAGCAAATTGTGTGTGAGGGTATAACAATTGAAGATGATTAAGTAATTTAGATAAATAATCAAAGATAATGATGAAAATAATAGGGGAGAGAGGGTCCCCCAGTTTAATGCTCATTTAGCAGTGAAAAAACCATAAGAATTGCCATTAACAAGCACAGAGTAGTGGTTGTTGGCCAACCATCTTTGAATTAACATGCAAAAGCTAGAACCGAAACCTCTTGCCACCAATACATTGATAATGAATTCTCAACTAATAGTATCGAAGGCCTTCTTGATATCTAATTTGATAATTAAATTACCACCCCTGCATTTTCTATCGAGATCTTCAATAATTTTTTGGGCTAACAAAATATTGTCTGAAATATCACGACCTTTTATAAAAGCCGATTGATGTGGAGAAATGAGAGAGGGAATGTGGGGCTGTAAATGGCCCACAATCAATTTAATTATGATCTTTGAAACCACAGAAGTAAGAGAGATAGGTCTGAAATTCTTCCAATGCAATTTATCATTATATTTAGGGATAAGCACAATCAAGGCAGCGGTAAAGTACTTACCAGGATCCTCTCCCTGAAAAAAACTTTGAATAACAAGAATTACCTCTTTTTTTATGATGTCCCAGCAAGAGATATAGAAAGCAGAAGTAAAACCATCAGGGTCAGGTGCCTTTTGGGAGTAGATATCTTTGAGAGCAGAGATAATTTCCATCTCCGAAGGGGGGTCGGACAAATAGAGGGACGATACCAAATCTTTATGGGCATCAGAATTTCCAAATCAATATCATTGACCGGGACAACATCAACATAAAAAGAAGCAAAATAATCAACAACGTTGGATCCAATTTAATCAACATTAGTGAGGACGACACCCTCATCAGTCACAATCTTAAGAATGACATTAATATTTCTTCTATGCTTGATGGTGGCGTGAAAATATTTAGTATTTTGATCACCATTGCTAAAATGAATGTCGCATGTTTTCTGCCTTAGGAAATCTTTCTCAATAGTGATTTCCTCCAAGAGTTTTTGGTGAGCCTGAGCCAACTTATGGACAAGAGGAGTGCAGATCACATGTGCCTCCAAAGCATCCACCTCGTGTTGAGCATTCAAAACCCTGGAGTGAACATTGTCAAATATATCAAAATTTCACTTCAAAAAAGAAGACATTTTTTTATGCAATTGCCACAAAATAAATCAAGGACTGCCACTTCACCGAGAACACCAAGCCTGTTTAGCCAAGTCAAGAAAGGTAGGATGAGAAGTCCAGACATTGAGAAATTTAAAATGAGAGTGAGCATGTTTAGAATGAAAAACCAAACTAAGCAAAATAGGATTATGATCTGAAGCAGCATGATTAAGATGTTTGACATGAATGATATTATAATAGTCCAACAAAGAGGAGTATCCCAGAAATTTGTCGAGTTTCTGCATAAGAAGGCCCCTCCAAGTATAAGGAGAACCCGAGAAACCAAGATCATAGTGATCAACATCATTAATATACTCACAAAAATGATTGATAAGATTTGTATCAGCTTTAGTTCCACCTCTTTTTTCCGAAGGGGACATTACCATATTTAGGTCACCCCTTCAATTTAAATGTGAATAAGTTGTTGTAAAAGAATTAATTTATCCTGTAATAAGGAGCTGACATAAATAAAGGTAGCCCAGCCATGGAAATCCTTCACCTTATAATGTACGAGAGCATATTGCATATCATCATCAATGATGCTGAAAGTGATTTCCTTTTTCCAAAAAATCTAGATTTTATTGTCTGATTACTATAGTGCAGGTAATTTTTGAATTTTTTAATAATATCATCATTATGGATAGACACCAACGACTCCAAAAGAATAAAAATGCCCGGCTTATGGACCCTACATAAATATTTTAAACGATTAAAACAGTGGGGGTCCGCCACTCCCCTAATGTTCCACACAATAATGTTAAACATGTTGGCCCAAAGCACCCCTCCTAGTGACCATAGGGGGGGGTGGGGGGAGGTGCAAGTGCTCTCCTCATAATGGTAAGTGACATCAATATTGTTTGAGGTTATCATATTAGACATTTCAGTTTTCCTTCTTCCTCGTTTTCTGCTGTATTTTTGAATACTCCATTCGAAATCCAAGTCCAAGGTAGCAACAACAGCAGGATC